CGTAACGCTCTTTGAGGCGTATATGGGAAGAGGTGGTCCCTTAGGTATGTTGGTCCCAGCCTGTATAAGGCTTTGAAGGTGATTACCAGTACCTTGAAGCAGATCCGGTACTCAACCAGCAACCAATGCAGCTGATAAAGCACATGCCGAATGTGAGCTCGCAGAGGCGTTGACGTCAGCGGGTGTGCCGCTGCATTTTGTACTAGCTGTAATTTCCGGATCCACTTCAGTGGTAAGCCTGCATAGAGCAAGCTGCAGTAATCAAGCCTGGAAGTGACCATTGCATGAGTCACTGTAGCTAAGTCCTGGGGGAAGAGATAGGGCTTCAGTAGCCTGGTCTGTCTAAGATGGAAGAATGCAGATCTGGCCACTGCAGCAACCTGGGCCTCCATAGATAAGGAGGAATCCAGCATTACTCACAGGCTCTTCACTGACTGGGCCGGCACCAAAGGTGCCCCTTCCCTTGTGGGAAGCCTGGTGCCCACCTCCATACCCCCATGACCCAGGTACAGGACCTCCGTCTTTGGTTATGCCTGACCGTGATAGACTGCTAGTCTGAGTAGGCAGTATGACCAATCGGTGGTCTGACACCCAAGAAAAGGCCTTTTTAGTCGTGGCACAGAAAAGTTGGAACTCCCTCCCCAGGGAGACTCATATGTCTCCCTCTATTGTTGTCAGCCAGCATGTAAAGACATTTTTGTTCTGTTTGACACTCATCTATTAACTGTTATTGGCTGGCTTCCTTGTTTTGGTGTAGTCTGTGTATATTGAAATACTTTATATATGCTTTATTTTAAATGCTGTTTTAGTGTTGAAATGTTTTGATGTTCACACCCTGGGGACCCTATTTGGGGGGGAAGACAGTATAGAAATGTTTTAAATAAATAAATACTGGCATGTAATGCCAGTGCCTGGCCAAGAACGTTTTTATTTCTTTCATTTGTTTTATCCTACTCGGCCTCCCTTGATGCATAGTTGGTTGGCAGTGTTAGGTGCTTATCCACCCTTTGGCAAGGTTTCCGGCCCAAACCACCTATAAAAGGGGGAGTGTACCTCCCTGTCTCAGTTCTTCCTTCACCACCAGTGAAGAAGGATGTCTCTCTCTTTTGCTCTTTGGTTCTAAAAGATAGGAGTTATTTAGACATGTGGTAGATCTGTTGGTCTTTGTAAGTTTTGCTTTGATGTCTCTCTGGGGGTTGTCTTTTTGGTCCCATGGATTTGAAGGCGCTATTTAAGACGTGTTCCCATTGTGGAACCGTGATGGCTCAGTTGGACTCCCACAACTCTTGCCTATTATTTATTTATTTATCGCATTTATATCCCGCCCATCCTATAAACAGGCTCAGGGCAGGTTACAACATTTCCATAAGTACAATAAAATTTTAAAACACATTATAAACATATAAAGTCAATAATCGTAGCTTGCCGTAGGGAAGATCCAGCCCATTGATGTAGGTAGGTATGGCCGGTTATCAGTGGGTGGGAGACAGCAACCTCGGGGGGCCATGTGTGGACTTCCCCTGCCTCAGGCAAAAGCCTGGTAGAACAGCTCTGTCTTGCAGGCCCTGCAGAATTGAATGAGATCCCGCAGGGCCCTGATCTCAATAGGGAGCATGTTCCACCAGGTGGGGGCCAGGGCAGAAAAAGCCCTGGTCGAGGCTAGGCGGACATCCTTTGGGCCAGGGATCACCAGGAAATGTTGGCTCTCAAAGCGTAACGCTCTTTGAGGCATATATGGGAAGAGGTGGTCCCTTAGGCATGTTGGTCCCAGCCTGTATAAGGCTTTGAAGGTGATTACCAGTGCCTTGGATCCGGTACTCAACCAGCAACCAATGCAGCTGACAAAGCACATGCCAAATGTGAGGCTGCAGAGGCGTCGACGTCAGCGGGTGCGCCGCTGCATTTTGTACTAGCTGTAATTTCCGGATCCACTTCAGTGGTAAGCCTGCGTAGAGCAAGCTGCAGTAATCAAGCCTGGAAGTGACCATTGCATGGGTCACTGTAGCTAAGTCCTGGGGGAAGAGATAGGGCTTCAGTAGCCTTGTCTGTCTAAGATGGAAGAATGCAGATCTGGCCACTGCAGCAACCTGGGCCTCCATAGATAAGGAGGAATCCAGCATTACTCACAGGCTTTTCACTGACTGGGCTGGCACCAAAGATGCCCCTTCCCATGTGGGAAGCCTAGTGCCCACCTCCATACCCCCATGACCCAGGTACAGGACCTCCGTCTTTGGTTATGCCTGACCGTGATAGACTGCTAGCCTGAGTAGGCAGTATGTCTCCCTCTATTGTTGTTAGCCAGCATGTAAAGACATTTTTGTTCTGTTTGACACTCATCTATTAACTGTTATTGGCTGGCTTCCTTGTTTTGGTGTAGTCTGTGTGTATATATGTTTGTATTGAAATACTTTATATATGCTTTATTTTAAATGCTGTTTTAGTGTTGAAATGTTTTGATGTTCACGCCCTGGAGACCCTATTTGGGGGGGAAGACAGTATAGAAATGTTTTATTTCTTTCATTTGTTTTATCCTACTTTGATTTTGTCAGATTTTTACAGCTGGTTCATTGTCCCCTCCCCCCAAGTAATTTTAGTTTATTTTGTTGATTGTTTGATAGAGATGTTTTAATGAGTTGTTTGCTGCTTAAATTGCATTCAGAATGCAAATGATTTTGCTGAATAAATAATTCCGCACACATGAGGGCCTGAGCCACTCCCTGGGAGCTGCTTGTATTAATGTGTGAAATTCACAAAGGCACCCACCCAGGTAACTAAAATAAGGCTTACATTGCTCGATTCTCTTATCTTTGTCACCTGTTAAGAGATGTGTGATATTAAATCATTAGAAAGAGAGCTTGAAGAATTAACTTACTATTCTACTCAAACAAATGACTGAAGTTTCAGGGGCCCCTTTGAAATTTCACTCCTGCCTATTTGGGTAGAAATGGTATAAACTGTTAAATAGGTCAGTGACTCAATCTAATGACATTTCAGCAGAAATATACGAGAGGTTTTTAAGGACAAATCTGCAGGAAAGTTGCTGGGCAAAAATGAATTTCCATTCCATTACAAACTCTCAGCATGTGTGTCCAAAGGCTCTTGGCTAGCCAGCTGATTTGAGCAGCTCATGTTCCCAAATGTGTAGGCGATAACTCCTGTTGTGGGCAAGCTGGTGACCTCTTTAATTAGGAAGCCACTGTAAACCAGCCCCAAAAGGAAATTGCTCCTGCCTTTCAGTAACGAAAGCTTATCAGGAAGAAGACACAAGAGCCAGTGTGCGGGGGTCGTGCTTGTAACTTGAACAATAAGCAGATTAAAAAATTCTGCAGAACAGTGACAAGTGTTGGTTGTAAATTCAAATTATCCAGTCAAGAATTGCTGCTGGGGCTGAAAAGTTGCCAGACCACAGCTGAAACCCACATGGGTATTTCCAGGAAGAAGAGCTGAAGTGGCATGGATTCCTGTCAGTGTTTGGGTTCCCTAAATAATAATGCCCCATCTGGTTTTGTGGCATTCGAATAGTGCAGAATACCTTTTCATATGAGGTATTTATTCCCACTTTTCTCTGGGGAAGTCTGTCACATCACCTGTTAAGTCTGTAAGGTGCATTTGGAATGAAACCTGCTGATGTTACTAGCTCACCAAATTATTATTAGTCTTATTCTTAGGAGCTGCGGTGGCTCAAGTGGTTAAGACGCTGAACTGCAGGCTGTGGAAGGTCAGTAGTTCAGCAGTTCGAGACCCAAGTGTGCCGCATGACGGAGTGAGCTCCCATCTCTAGTTCCAGCTCTTGCCAACCTAGCAGTTTGAAAGCAAGAAATTGCAAGTAGATAAATAGGGGGATGCTCAGCAGCTTTTGCTCTTGGGGAGCAATGTTGGTGCCTCCCTTCCATATACACTTTCATAGCAGCTAGTTGTCAGAGATTCAGATGTTAACTTTGGTCATTTTTTATTCTTTTTCTGCAGCCTTAAGGCTTACTCTCAGCCTGTATGTAGCATTTTAAAAAGATTCAGTTAAAAAGAACTTTAAAAATTGCTCCAGAAATGGTGAGTTTGTGAAATTGCAAGCGCTGGCCAATCTGTGTAGTGCTCAGCTGGCGTCGACTGCAAACTGGCTGAATTAATTTTGTTCTGAATCAAATAACTGATGTCTTTTACACAGCATAACATGTATTCTTCCACAATGCCTTACAGCTCAAACCATTTATGTCTTTATGCATTTTAGAAATCTGTGGCCTATTGCAGCCTGGAATGGAAAAATAAAAAAAAGAAAACAATTCTCCTTTAACTGCGGATCAGACTAGACAAGACAGGAATGTCATGTACTTTTATTGAAAGAGTGGATAGATGATGCAAAGTTAGCCCTGTTCCCTTTTTACCTTGTTTACCTTCCCTTTTCCATTGTTTTGAAGCATTTTCCTCCCAGCCCAGATCTGATACCAGAAGTGAGCGGTGCTGGACAAAAAAAAAAAAAGTTAAAGCTATAGAATGCAGCAAGGCTTTGTGGGCAGAGTTTTGCTCCCTTCACCCATGTGTTTGATTTTTCTGTTCATAATGAATTAGACCAGTGAGTGAATACACTTGGATCTTTCCATTGCACATGACTTGTGCCTGATGAAATTTTCCTACTGAGATGTAATGGGGCTGTGTCTCAGTGGCAGAGTTTCTGCTTTACATGCAGACAGTCCCAGGTTCAGTCCCCAGCCAAAAGGAACAGGTAATAGGTGATGTGAAAGACCTCAGCCTGAGAACCTGAAAAGCTGCTGCCAGTCCAAGTACATAATATTGGCCACGACAGACCAGTGGTCTCATTCGGTATAAAGCCGCTTCATGAGTTCACTTCTTCCTCACTGCTGGCCACCAGGCAAGTGACTAATGGTTAAGTTTAAATTGTCACAGTGCTCTTTGTTGTGTTTGCTACAAAAGACTAATGCCATTCTTCTGTCAGAAAAACAGACATTTCTTAAACATCCTAATAAATGACTTTTGTATCTTTCTAGGCTTACCTGATCAGTTGTGTATGGAATTGTTATCGATACATCAATAACCGAAACAGCTCCGACGTGCTCGTCTATATTACCACTAATGATACAGCGGTAAGCATGGTTGAAAGTGAATGGGTCTCGGGTAATTTCAGAGTAGAGCTTTGGATCAAGCAGTTATCTGGATAAAGCAATATCTCCACTAGAGCCAACGTATATCTGAGGTGATTCACATGAATGTGGTGTTTTGCAATGAGTAGTGTTTCTTCAACAGGTAATAAAGATGTACACGTACACACTACAGAAATTGCATATACTCCGGTTTCACATAACAGCTTTTTCACGGTGTGCTGTGGAAATAATCTGTTTCATTGGAGTGGGAAGAATGTTTGAGTGTTAATTCACAGATTAGAATTGTTGACGTGTAAATTAATGTTATTTACGCAGCACACCATCAAAAAGCTGTTATGTGAAACCGGAGTATGTGCAATTTCCATAGTGTGTATGCGTACATCTTTATTTCTGATTCAGTATAAGGCAGCTTCATGTTGCTAAGATCACTCCTTCTTTGTTGCGTTTCCACAAATCATGCAAGGCAGAAATATTCAGGAAGGCTTTTGACACTGCCACCTAATTTTTAAGGATGTGTTTGTTAGTTTCTGTTGAGCTCTTAATTCAATATAATTATTATTACTGTAACCAGCTTTGAGAGTAGTTTTTGGGAGACAGGTGGCTTTTAGAGCATTTCAGAATAAATACACCAGTCCTGGACAATGTGTTACAATGAACCTGATGTGTTACAGTGATGAAACTCTGCTTTAAAAACTCAAAATATTCTGAAATACGATGCAGCAGCAAAGGTCACTTCTCCCAGAAGCTTGCTGGACCCATTGTCCCCAAAGACTCCAAAATGTAGACTTTAACCCCATTGAATAAGGTCCTATTGGGCAGTTTCTTGTGGATATCTTCCCAAGGAGTCCCAGATGATCTTGCTGTAGCACAAATATATATTTTGAGTGACTTCATCAGTTTAAACTCATGCTGTTTTCCCTTTTAAAGGAAAGATGGTCTAAAAATAATTTATAGCTTGGATGATTGAGGAGCTATATACACAGAGAGAGAGAAAGAAAATGAATAAATGTATTCTTCAGCACATGTTGGCAGCTCTGAGAATTCAGAGTTATAAATTATCTCAGGGCGGTCCTGCCTTCTACTGTAATCACCCCAGAGTGGTTTCTAATGAAAACGCTCATAGATAAACATTTAGGTTGCTTCCTGCTCAGGCAAGGAGGGAAGCACCCTGGAACTTATGTGACCGATGATAATGCATTAAGGAATGCTTAAGCCAATGGCAAGCTGCCAGTGTGTTATACTCAAGTTCCAAATCATGTTCTGGTTTGCAGGAAAAACACAGTAGTGTTTAAACTGGGAGAGGAAAAATTAAGTCGATCTTCCCATACTAATCATAATGTGGCATTCACAGGTACAGAGGCCTATGTCCACATAGGTGCACATTGTGTGGCCAGTTGGCCACATGCAGCTTGTGCACAGGACACTTCCCTCTCTGTGCCATCCCCGTGCAGAATGCATAGCTGTGTTGCAGGCATGCTGCACAAAAGAGATGGGTCATCTGGGCATGTTTTGTTTCCTACAAGGAGTCACCTTGTAATCGGTCTCGCCAGCCCTCTTGGCAGTGGTTTCCAAGGACTTGGACAAAGGACTTTCCCAGACTTCCTATCTGAGACACTTTACCACAAACTGAGCCTAGAATCTTGTATATGCAAAGCATGTGCTGGGATTCTTGTAGCTGCACATAGAGATTCTTGTAGCTGCACACCCCATTTTAGTTGGAATCCATATTCTCTATAGTTGGCTCATGTGAACCTTATTGACCCAGAAATCCCAATGACAGCTCAGGGAAGTATCTCTGATGCCTGAACAATGTGTTAGAAAAAATGCACAGCCGGCACAGTCTGCCATGTCCTGGTAACAGGAATGTGACATCTTCAGATTCATTTTCCCCATTTTCCCTCACAAGTGGCGGCCAGTGAAGTAGAGCAGGGAGGGGGGAAGCTCTGGATGCAATTATGGCCGCTTCCACATGGTGACAGTTCTCCATGATGCACTCATTGCTGATGTGAATACAGAGGAATTTGCAGCAATAATGAAGTACCCACAGGGGGTGTTTTCCTCGGTATCCCCTTGTGCCCACCATTCCTCCCCCCACCTTGGTGCTAGAGGGATTTTTGCTAGCTTTTTTAAAAGATTGAGTGAAGCTATAACAATATAGCAGCTTGTGATTTAAAAAAAACAAAGCTGGCAGAATGCCTACAACTCGTAAGGTAGGTGGATATGGTGGACACGAGGGGATAAGGAGAGAACATAAGGCTGTCGCTTAATATGCAAATGAGTACCTGCTACAAAAAGAGCCATATTAAGCAGCTTGTGATTTAAAAAAAAAAAAAGCTGGCAGAATGCCTACAACTCGTGAGGTAGGTGGATATGGTAGGCACGAGGGGATAAGGAGAGAACATAAGGCCTGCTGGATCAGACCAGTGGTGCATCTAATCCAGCATCTTGTCTCACACAGTTCCTCTGAAGGTCCAGCAGTAGGGCACAGAGGCTAAGGCCTTCCCCTGATGTTGACTCCTGGCACGGGTAATCAGAGGTTTACTACTTCTGAACATGGAGTTTCCTTTTAGTTGCCATGGCTAGTAGCTGCTGATAGTAGCTTCATGAATCTGTCTAGTACCCTTTTAAAGCTGTCTTTGCGTATGGCCATCACTATGGCAGTGAATTCTACATTTTAATCACTTGTTGTATAAAAAGTATTTCCTTTTGCCTGTCCTGAATCTGTTGCCCATCACCTTCATGAGATGCCCTCAATTTCTAGTATTTTGGTAGAGGAAGGAAGAGTTCTCTTTGTCAACTCTCTCCACCTCATGTATAGTTTTATAACCCTCTATCGTGTCCCCTCTTAGTTGTCTCTTTTAAACTGAAAAGTCCCAGACACTTCAGCCTTTCCTCATAGGGGAGGTTGCTCCAGCCTCCTAAATCATCTTGGTTGTCCTCTTCTGTACTTTTCCAGCTCTGTGATTACCTTTTTAAGATACAGTGGCCAGAACTGTACACAACATTCCAAATGAAGCCACACCATAGGGCATTATAATATTGGCTGTTTTATTTTCAATCCCTTTCCTAATAATCCCCAACATAGAGTTTGCCTTTTTTTTTTACCACTGCAGCACACTGTCTTGACATTTTCATTGAGTTATCTACTATGATCTCCTAGATCTTTTTTCCCTCTCAGTATCAACAAGTTCAGACCCCATTAGCCTATACTTGAAGTTGGGATTTTTTGTTCCAGTGTGCATCACCTTATATTTACCAACACCAAACTTCATCTGCCACATTGACACCTGCTCACCCAATTTGTGGAGATCTTCTTGGAGCTGCTCACAGTCATCCTTGGTTTTCATCATCTCTCTATATAATAAAATTGTTCTGGTGGTGGCACTCCCCAGAACATTCGACACGCTTCCGAATTGGTTGACGCCCTGGTGTCAGTCACAAGGCATCTGTCTTCACTGACTGCATTGCTGCCTCTGTGGGTGTCGTCCTGCCCACAAAGGCGGCACCCGGCATCTTGCCCTCACTCTTCTTCAAGTGGACGGTTGGGTTGGATGCTCCAGCGGGTGGGGGGCTCAGCCCCAGTGCCCCGCTGCTGTGGGCATCCTCTCCTGTGTGTGCATAGCCAGCCAGTCTGCATGTGACCCGACAACAAACGGGCCGCCCGCTCCGGCGTGGGAGGGCTCAGCCCAATCCTGCTGCTGCCGTCCTCACCCGCATGCACGTAGCCACCCGGGCTGTGTGCAACCCGGCGACAGACAGGTGGGCCACCCCAGCAGGGGGGGGGCTCAACTGGATCCGGCATTGGGTCCATATTACGAAAATACTGTGTTGGGCCTCATCATAGATCTCTGCTATCTTGGATACATTCGAGATCCATGATTTAATCCTCCCACCCTCTATACCATCCAGCCTGCCGGCTAAGATCTGCCTCCCAAGCCCTGCAGTCTGTGCCCTTGCATTCAGAAGTGAGACAGGGGGCAACTGCCTTGGTGGGCAGGGCGGGGTATAAATCAAACGAACAAATCAAATAAACAAAATAAACTAGAGACAGGGTTTCTTCAGTAGTGGCACCTTGCCTGGGAAACGCCCTTCCTCTTAAGATTCACCATCCCTACTCTTATTTAGAAGCCAGGGCAGAATGTTTCTTTTTATCCAAGCTTTTATCTCAATGGTTGATCTTTTACCATCATTTATAGTCTGCTTCTAGCCTGGGAAATGTCCTGAGACTTATTTTAAACTGCTCAATGTATATGTTATTTTTAATTAACAGACTTTTTAAAATATATGTATTTTATTGTGTAAGCCGCTTCAAGCAGGTTCTTTGGAGAGGAGGCATAAACACATTCTAAATAAATAAATAAATTTCACTTTTCACTGACACAGAATTTATGGTGCAAAAAAGGCAAAATCCAGTTGCAGACGCTTGCTAACGTGCATTGAAAGTGGATTGAAAATGCTTTATTCAGTATGTGTGAAAATGCCCTTAAGGACCAAAATCGTTTGATAACTTGTGGAATACTTAAGATACATTTTATAATAAATATAGTCTCAGAGGCAAATGGAGGAGCTTTTTGTTGCTTCTGTTAATGAAGCATGATTTTGGTACTGCTTTTCATTTCATCTCTCTCCCACCTATCCTCTGAGTGATTGAGCAAACTTGGTATGGAAATAAGTGATTTGCTAAAACTGTGTGGTGGAAGAGCAGAGGCAACAACACTTCTGTTTTCTTGCCTCGTGTCTTGTAATTCCCTATGAAGTCTTCTGCATGATACAGCCATTCATCATCCTGAACTAATCTGCTGAGGCCCCTGGGTGGTCTTTAACATGTTTGTGTAGTCACAAACACAGCAACATAATAGAGCTTTCGGGGGGGAAACCTTCGGTCAAGCAGGTGGTCAGTTTAATGACCTGGCCGCTCATCTTTCTCCTAAATTGGCTGTTCACTTCATCACAATGCTTGGCTAAGGACAATCTTGGTTTTGTGGCTGCTGCTAATAGCTCTTAACAGCTGTGCTGGTGTGGAAGGAATGTCTCCCATGACCACGAGGGAAGCAGAGTACAATCAGTTTAAAAACCAACCAGCAGTCTTGTTTAGGCAGCATCTGTAGGTCTGAACATGTATACAGCACCAGGCTGCTTTTTGCTTGATTCAGCTTTGTTATTAGTGGGGGACAGTCCTTGGAAGGTAAAATTCACCTTGTATAGAAGAGGTCTGTGCTGTACTTTTGGTTGTGCAATGTAAAATATATATGGTGGTGTTTAGCAAATAATGGTTAGGACAACTCATGCTACCCAACTTCTTTTTTTAAATTATGGAAATATTAACACACCTAGTCCCATATCCCCTTACCCTTTCCCTGTTCGTTTCCCTCTCACAATCCCCATGATGAGGAAGAGGTTGGATTCTGGGGAGGCAACAGCAGATATCACTGACTGTGGTCCATTTGTGGATGTGATTTCCAGACCATTTATAGATGCCTTGTATTTGTCACTTGATGGGGTTTAGAGTTGGAGACGGTGGTGATGGCCAATATCCCAGTATAACTGTCCTTTTGCTAGGCTGCCCTTCACACATGCAGCTATAGAAGTGGAGCTGCTTTCCTGCATCAAGACCCTATGCTGTTGAGGAGTTCGTATGGCTATTACAATACCACCGGTGGGTGGTAATCATGTGAGTTTTCCCACCTGATCATCACCAGCCGCATGACTGCAAGAGCCAAATACACTGCTCAGTGGCATGGCATCATACCATGGGGAAGCAGCTCCCATTCCACGGTGTGTGTGAGAGAACATGTCTTAGAAACAGACATAAATGAGTCTAGCTCATAATTTAATGAGTAAGAGCATAGATACAATGACGGCAACAGTAAATGAAGGTATTGTTTTGAAGTGAACTTGTGGTGGCAGCTGCTGCCAAAACAATGTATTGTGTGTGTGTGTGTTTTTTTAATCTGCCCAGCTGATCAGATTTCCAGAGGCCAATCAAAGCTATGCTGGGCAAAAGTCCCATGTGGCCCCACCTTCTTTTAAAAACACTCGGCACCAAGAAAGGTGTTGGTGGGCCTCGTGATGCCCACAGGCGCCATGCTGTTGTCCCATAAGAACATAAGAGACGCCAATGATGGATCAGGCCAAAGGCCCATCCAGTCCAACACTCTGTGTCACACAGTGGCCAGAAATACCAGTGCCATCAGGAGGTCCACCAGTGGGGCCAGGACACTAGAAGCCCTCCCACTGTTGACCCCTCCCAAGCACCAAGAAGACAGAGCATCACTTGCCCCAGAGCCCCTATCTATACCTTGTGGCTAATAGTCCCCTGCAGTAGATCCTTGTCTGCCTTCTGCCTGTTCCTAGTGTAGTGGATAGACTTCAAGTGGAACTTGGAAGCTCTGGTTCAAATCTTTGTTTAGCTATGAATTTCACCATTCATTGTTTCACAGTCTATGCATATTAGACTAGACAATCCATGCACACTACCCTGATCTTCTTGGAGGAAGAAAGGTAAAGGTAAAGGTTCCCTTGCTCGAAAGCCAGTCGAGTCCGACTCTAGGGTTGCGGTGCTCATCTCCGTTTCAAAGCCGAAGAGCCAGCGCTGTCCAAAGACGTTTCCGTGGTCATGTGGCCGGCATGACTAAACACCAAGGCGCACGGAATGCTGTTACCTTCCCACCGAAGTGGTACCTATTTATCTACTTGCAATTTCTTGCTTTCGAACTGCTAGGTTGGCAGGAGCTGGAACTAGAGACGGGAGCTCACTCTATCATGTGGCACACTCGGGTCTCGAACTGCTGAACTACTGACCGTCTTAACCACTTGAGCCACCGCAGCTCGGAGGAAGAAAGCTGGGCTATAAATGATTCAGCCTTTACAGGTTCAAAACTTACTGTTCTTTTTGTTCTCCTCAGGTGCTGTTGCCCCCGTATGATGATCCCACAAATGGCACTGCTGCTAAGGATCCACCACCACCTTATGTGTCGGCATAAGGAGAGCATGCGAAAAACGTACCTAAGGAACAAATAGCTTTACTTTTCAAACACCTGAGCAATAGATTCTTTCTTTCATTTCCAGAATGGATATATCAGCTCCAAACGTGTATTTATTGCTGTTTTTCTGTAGATAAATTTTAAACACTTTTTTTGCCTAACAAAGTGTCGAATTGGCTTCAGAACCATTTTTTATTAGCTACAGTTGCGTAGTTCCCAGCGTAGGCTTGGTTTGTCACACCGTGTCATGCAGTTCTAGACAAAACTGTACCTGATTTTATATCCTCAGCAATTCTAGCATGTGGATCAGTTTTTTATTTGTTTGTTTGCTATCTATAAAGCGTCCCAATCAATAGGAACGAGTTTCTGAAATGATCCTTCATGTCACAAGCTGTCACTCATTTGTCAGTTAAAACAAGGAGATGTACTCAGATGCGAAGCCCACTTTGTTGTAAACAACAATAAAAATCCAAGATGTTTTTCATAGATGCTGGAGAGCCAGTTTGGTGTAGTGGTTAAGTGCGCGGACTCTAATCTGGGAGAACCGGGTTTGATTCCCCACTCCTCCACTTGCACCTGGCTGGATGACCTTGGACAAGCCATAGTTCTGATAAGAGCTGTTCTTGAAAAAAGAGCAGTTTCTGTCAGAGCTCTCTCAGCCCCACCCACCTTACAGGGTGTCTGTTGTGGGGAAGGGAAGGGAACGGAGTTTGTAAGCCGCTCTAAGACACCTTTGGGTATCCTCTTCTCCTCCTCTTCTTCTTTTCTTCTTCTTCTCCTCCTCCTCCAAGCCCATTGCCCCCTTTGTTTTTCCTTCCTTCTTGCTGGGGCCTTGATCGAATTTTCTGTGGCCCAGCCCTCTTTTAAATCTGCTCTCCAAATCTTGATCCTGCTGGGCTGGATTGCTCTGTTGAACATTGGAAATATTACAGTTCTGCCAGTATCCTCTGTGACACAGCAGTTTTGTTCTTCCAGTATCCTCTGTGACACAGCAGTTTTTCTCAGCAGCGAGGGAGTCTGTTAACCTCTGTTCCCCAGCCCCCAATAAGACTTCAAACATGCTGTTTTTAGGAAGTGCATTGTAAACATTTGTGTTTGAAAATGCAGGGTGGGGAAGGAGAGGTGTATCCTTTCACCTGCAGGCATATGGTATCTTTTTGACAGGTACATCCTCCAGGGAATCTTGGCTATGATGGCAAACGAGTACAAAATGTGCAAAGGAGCCCTTAAAGGTATCATGGGAAGCAGAGACACAGAAGCATGACCCCCCTGCCCTTCTCATCTTGAATGGGAAATTGTATATTTCAGTGTAGTTAGGGGGTAAATACAACCACCCTTATTATGGCAAGTGGGATTTGTAAGTACAAAATGAGCATAGTCGCTGATCTACTAATGAATCAAGGTTCATGTTTCATGTCTGAATATGATTTGTTTTGAATACTGCCAAGTTTCTGGTGACGCCTTCTTATACAACCCCATTCCAGCATTTTGCAAACAATGGGCTCAAGCCAGGCAAAGTGAAGCACTTTTAAATCCTGCTGATTTCACAGTCCAACATGTGCTTAAACCTTTCCAAATGGCAGTTTTTAAAACGGTTCACTTCGTGTGGCTAGTGATCACTCTGGGTTGTCTTTTTTTTTTTAAGATTATGCCATGCATCCTTTGAGTTGTGCAGTGTAGAAGAAAATAATAAGTACGCCTTAGTATCCAAAACTGTGAAAGGTTTTCCCCCCCATGGGAACTTGCTTGGAATTACAGCTCTTGTAGGGCCAGACACAACATGATGCAGGTGCTGAAATAAACTTTCTCTTCCAGTTGGATCTTTGCTCATAGAACTCTCTGTAAATTTCCAGCAGGAAAAAAAATGTGTCTGTGTGTGTGTGAGTATCAACTTTACTGTGAAATTACTAGTTCCTCTTGTTTGCATTTGAAATCACTCTTCAAAGGATTCATTTCTTAATGTCCATGCTTGTTGTTAACAATATTGAGCATTTCTATAGCACTACAAAGTGTTCAAAACACGTCACCTGTGTTGTTTTGCTGTGTGTCCTTACAACAAGCCCATAAGGTAGGCCCATGGCAGGTGGGGGCCTGAAAGATAGTGATATGCTTAACATTACCTAGTGAATGGCAGTGGTGAGATTCAAACTCAGGATTTCTCAATCAGGATTTCAGTCTCATAGCCACTAGGCTATACCTGTTCCCTGATAAAATGTGTGAAGTACTCCCTTTGAACAATAATAGTGCTTCTTGCACGTGTAGATGTGATGCTTTGGTGTGGGTTTTTTTTAAAATCAAATACTGTTATATTTATAATATGAAAACATTTGATTTCTGTCTCTCATTCTTTTAAAAACAATAGAACAAAGTCTGAGTCCAGTGGCACCTTTATGACCAACGAAGTTTAATTCTGGGTATAAGGTTTTGTGTGCAGGCACACTTCTTCAGCTACCCACCTGAATCTCTCTCCTTTAAATCTCTCTCCCTCTTTCACTTTTTGGATTATGGTGAAGGTGAGGGAGAGTGTTCTAGTTGTTTTGATTCTACACAAACAGTGCAGGTCTTGAATATTTTGACTCCTGATGCAAATATAGCAAAATGATATGCCACCCACTGCTTGGGACTTGGCCCTTTTTCTTTCGTAAGCTCTCTGGGGAGGTAGAGATTTAAGAGGCAGGAGGAAAGCAGCAAGCCCTCAAAACCTGCTGCCAGAAGCAACAGTTTCGTGTTGGCACTCGGTAAGCCGGCTTTGTGCAAACAATGCTTTGTGGAGGAGGGGAGTTGCTATTTGGAAATATTTGAAAGCTGGATCAATCACGTACCCCTGCAGAGCTTGCCCTTGGAATACATACTCCGCATTCCAAAGAACGGTGTAGACACCTTCCCTAGAGCATTGATTCTGCTCCAGGGGAGGGCGAGTGCCAGGCTTTCACAGTGCAGCTGCAGACTGTGGTCCTGGTTGCATAAATCGGTGTATTAAAAATCACAGGGTGGTTTTTTTTTTAAAGCAAGTCTCTAGCCCTTATGGCTGTGAAAAGCCATCCCAGTTTTTATCCTCCCCTTCCTCCGAGGATCTGAAGGCACCATACAAGTCTCTCTTCCATGTGAGATAGGCCAGGCTGAGAGCTGGTGACTGAGCCAAGGTCACCCAGTGAGTTCTGTGTGACAGTGGGGAGGAGATGAACCCATGTTTCCTTGGTCCTCGTCTGGTCCTCTAACCATGGTAATGTCTAGGTATGCTGAGTGTGGGGGGGAAACGACTGGTGAAAGCAAAGGTATCACTGAACAAGGTTTCCAGTGAATAAAGCAGTGGGGTTTCCTAGGGGTCTTTATTAAGAACATAAGAGATGCCAATGTTGGATCAGGCCAAAGGCCCATCCAGTCCAACACTCTGTATCACCCAGTGGCCAGAAATACCAGTGCCATCAGGAGGTCCACCAGTGGGGCCAGGACATTAGAAGCCCTCCCACTGTTAGGGGCTAGTGTTGTTTCGTCAGTGAATTGGGGGCAGGGGAGAGCAATAAAATGGCCTGAGAGTGCAGACAACACCACTCTGTTCAGGGAGGTGAAAACCAACGTTTATGAAGGGCAGCAAGAAGATCAGTACAAAGTGGGTAAGAGTTTAGCAAATGAGGGTCAGTGTAAGTATGCATAAAAGTGATGCCCGCTGATAGAGGCTGAACTGTTGGTTAGCAACAGGGAAAAAGACCTTGGCATCAAGGTGTGAAGGTCAGTGAAAATGTCGACTCTGTGACAGGAGTGAAAAACGGTGAATTTAGTACTAAGGATTGTTAGGAAACAGGTGAGGAAATAAGACAGTATTGTATTGCCCTGGAATGGGCACGTGACGCAGTTGGAGTTGGAATAAACACTCCTTCTTATAACATAATTAATCTGTGGAACTCACTGCTACAGGCCACAGTGACGGCCACTGGCTTAGATGACTATAAAGGGGATTAAACCAGTTCATGGAGGATAGGTCCCTCAGTGGCTATTAACCATGAGGGATAATTGGAACCTCCGTGTTCAGAGACAGTGCATCTTTAAATGCCAGTTGCCAGTTGGTAGCAGTAGAGGGAAGGCTTTGGGATGGCCACTGGCTTAGATGACTGTAAAAGGGGATTGAACCAGTTCATGGAGGATAGATCCCTCAGTGGCTATTGACCATGAGGGATAATTGGAACCTCTGTGTTCAGAGGCAGTGCATCTTTAAATGCCAGTTGCCGGTTGGTAGCAGTAGAGGGAAGGCTTTGGGCTTCATGCCCTGCTTGAAGACATGTTGCATATGGCTGTCCATTGTGGGAAACAGGATGCTGGACTCTACAGGGACAGTTGATCTGATGGGTCGTAGCCCTTGTTGTATCCTGACAGCTTCAGATCCGATCCGTTGCTCTTTCCTGTGATTACTGCAAGCTGGACCAAATACATTATGCAAAATAAGAGCAGTTTAATTTCCATAATTCCCACCAGCCAGAGTCTGATTTTTCTCAGCTTTCCCAGGTGCTGCATTTTGGTTACTAGTTTTTTTCCAGTATGGAATAAACACTCATCTGTTTAAAGGCCAGTAACTTCATATTGAAAGTATTTGAGTGAGCTATAGTGATGAGATCTGGGTTCAAATCACAGCTCAGTCATCACGTTCATTAGGTAACCAGGGGCCGGTCACTATCTCTCACTGTAGCCTGCCTCACATGGTGGTTGTAGGAATAAAATGGGAAGAGAGTCAATTAGGTATGATACTCTTGGAGTTCCTTTGAAGGGTACAAATAGAATAGACTAATGAAGGCAAACCAATTCCTGCCATTAGGAAGTTTGCTGTTTTGCAGGCCACATGAAGGAAATAAGAGCCTTCATGCACTTGGGAGTGGCCTGTGCAAATGTCAAAGTGCAAATTTGCATCATGAGGGACACTTCGTCTGATTGAAGGATACAGGGTTCTCTGTCTAATAGCTCCATTTCATCCATTTTGCTGTTTTGCAGGCCACATGAAGGAAATAAGAGCCTTCAGGCCACCCCATGCACTTGGGAGTGGCCTGTGCCAATGTCAAAGTGCAAATTTGCATCATGAGGGACACTTCGTCTGATTGAAGGAGG